AATTAAGATCTCTCCAGTCTGTTCATTCAGTTCTGAGTATATTTTTTATGTTTAATATGGTAACAACATGCTAAATTCTGAAAGGGGTACAAAAGGACAGACACCAGGAGACCCACACCCAGCCCTCAAGTTGCATAGGTAAATTATAATTAAAAACAATAAAATGAGGTATACTACTAGGTGGAACTATATTAAATATAATAAAATTCTGATTTTATAGAACAAATAAAATAGAAATGATCTAGAGAAGGGTCTCGATATAGGGCATGGGACAAAGAGACATAGATACTAGCCCTATTATTACTGATTAAGCAACTTCAGAGATGAATTTGGTCATTCACTCTATAGAGGCAATTTATTAAAGGAGAGAAAGCTGAGCTTTAGCATCAGCTATGACATGGCTGAAAAATCATGAACCACAATTTCCTTGCTATGATATTGTAAGCAAGTTACTTAAGGCTTCTAAACTTTAGTTTTCAAAACAGAAAAATGGTAGTAATGATATAGGTGATCTGTCAGTGTTATTAGACATTCAAACAAGACAGGCTTCTTCCCCCAGAGCACACACATCAGAATCTAAGGCAGGTGCCACTGAGAGAACCATGGTCCTTTTCAAGTAGTAGAAATCAATCATGGAGCTCCTAAGAGAAAAGTGATAACACCCATAATAAATAAAGCTTTTAACACAAAGATGTTTTTGCCTAGAGAAATACATATTTCATTAATTTCCACTTAGAAAAACAAATAGACCTGTTGGAACAGTTTACTCTGCTGTTAGTCAAAGCTGACCAACCAATCCTTCCTGTGAGCACTTGCTGTTCTCTGTTTAACACGCAGGTTACCTGCTGGCCTCTCTAGCTTACTTTGCACCAAGGCGCTCAGTCTGCCTGAGGTAAACAATAATCCCTGGCCACCCCCAGAGGTGCCCACATCCTGACCCCCAGAACCCGTAAACATTGTACACGGGAAAAAGGGACTTTGCAGGTGTAATTAACAATCTGTGATGGGGGGGATAAGCCTGAATCATTCAGGTGGGTCCAATGCAATTTCAAGGGACCCCACAGGGTCAGAGAGGAGAAAGAAATGTGACAACTGTAATAAAGACTGGAGTGATATAGCCACAACCTAAGGAATTCTAGAAGCCTCTAGAAGCTGAAAGAGACAAGAAATGGATTTTCCCCTAGAGCTTCCAGAAAAGAACACAGCCCTGCTGACACCTAGACTTGAGGCCCTCACATGCATTTCAGACTCCTGACCTCCAGGACTGCATGAGGATTTTAAGCCACCACATTTGTGGTGATCTGTTACAGTGGCAATTGGAAAGCCATATGCCATTGATTCATTTCCATACTGTTGATGGCCCAGCTCTTTCATAAAGTCGAAGTGCATCCCTTGCTTTCAGCAAGCATACATTAATAACAATCACCACCACCACAAACATCACTGAGTTAGACATCTTACCCACACTACGTTATGAGGTAGCTTCCATTAAACCCATTTTACTGATATGAAAACTAAGACCAGGATTCCAGCCCGGGACTTCATGGTGCCAAAGCCCATCACCTTAACCACTGTGCTGTTCTTGATGTCCTGCCTCTGTTCCATCTTCTCTCTTACTCTTGGATCCCCATCACATAGAGGGAACACAGAAACAAGGTGCCTGTTTCTTAGATTTCTTCCAAGGGAGGTTTTTAAGGAACAAGACTTTGACTATAATCATGTCTAAACAATCAAGCTATTCTTAAGGAAATGTATACACAGAGAAAGAAAAGGAAGCAACAAGAGGAGAGAAATGAGTTGAGAGGGAAAGGGAGAGGAAAGTTTTAAACTCTAAATCCAAATAAATGTAATGGTCTGCCCTCATACAGGGGCTTTGAAAGTTGAGAACATCATAAATAGGAAAAACTAAGACATTCATAGTGTAGGATTAAGAGTAAGCCAAAAAAGAAAAAAATCAGAAGATAAAAATAGACATGGCTTGTAGACAGAACCAACAGAAAGACCAGTCCAACTCAAGCAATACAGCTGAATTGGGAAAGGACAGGAAAATAAGTCAAGGTCAGTTTACAGAGAAGCTTAACCCCCAAGAGGAGTTTAGACCTGATTTGTCAGAGGCTGGAAAGCTGATGCTCATTCTTGAGATGAAAAAGAAGAGGGTTCTTTTTCTCTCTTTTTTCCCATATGATCAATCATCCTAAAATTTGAGTCCAGAATTAATCTTAAAAGTGAGATAATTTAAGAAATGTTTACATTAACTTCATAACTATTGCTGATGTTTAAGTTCACAATTTAGAGTTAATAAGTATTATTTAATTTGAAACAAATTTCCTACTGCAAAATTGAAATCCCTGTGCAAGCTTGCTTTCACAGACTATACCTAATGTAGTACATGATATTTATTCAGCCCTAAGAGGCAATAACTCCCTCCATGGAATTACAAAACCCTTATAAAACACTAGCTTTTATATCTGGTTTAGAAAATGTCTGGGGACAGAAAAGCAAGGGACAAACTTTGCTGACCACTTCATGTCTCTCACTAATCCTCACAATTCTGTAGGCTTATGTCATTATCCTCATTTCACAGATTAAGAAACTGAGGCTCAGAGGGTTTCAGTAACTTGACCAATATTTTAATATGAAATGGAAAAAAGGAGTCTGAGCTAAGAATATGTCTATTCAGAGGCAGAGAATTAACCTAAAACAGACATGTTAGCTATAATTTCTTGTACTCCATCCATTTCCTATAATAGCAAGTATTTTGATGACTTGGAAGAAACAACTGAACTAAGAGATTTAGCAACGCTTCCCTGGCCCCTCCTCCCTGAACCAAGTATGAACATATATCTATGACAAAGAACCATTGGGCCTACCCCAAAATCTACTGTTGGCAGTTTCAGAGCAAAGTATCCCTCAAACCACCTGTCAAAGAAAACTAAAAGTAAGCCCCCTCCTCTTCCACACAGCTCTTTGACTTGGCACGGTAGCTCCTTGCCTGAAACATACGAGGAGTTGATTTTTTTCTTTAATTTTAAAATACCTGGAGCCCTAAAGCACAAATGCACATTTTCAAGTACAATTTTTTAATTCAAAAGCTAGAAAAAATGGTGAATGCTTGCTGAAGTGTTAATTAATACCTGATTAAGACAAAGAACAAGAGTGGTTCCCACTCAAACCCAAAAGGCCGTTGGGAACACATCTCCACAGCAGGAACACAGTGGCCGTGTTTATGGTTTCCTCATCTCCGCAGGGTCAGAGAGATTCATTTTGTATTCCATCCATATGACGTTCAGAAAACTCAGTCCCCCTATAGGTATGTTTCTTTACTAGGAAACTGTTCAGTTATGTAAATGTGTTGAGGCTATTACCCAGAGAGGGTACACTAATGAATTCTTTACAAGCCTCTGAAGATCTTAAATCACATACACAAAACCTGAGATTTCAAAGTCGTAAGTCAAAGTTTGACCGTAAAAGAGAAATACAGGGGGGAAATGCCATTAGACTGCTTCAGGAAAGTGACCCTTATTAATTAGGTTGTGACCTGCTTATTAATTAGGAGAGACTGAGATTCAGAAGGAAAATTCACTCAAATTACATCAACTACCTTAAAAAAATAAATGGAATTTTCTCTCAATTCAGTTGATTAGTGGAAACTACAACCTACCAGCTTATGTAGGATAATTAGAGACAATACCTATTTCATCTTAAGTCTCCAGTTATCAACCTATATGTGGGCATCACAGGTCCAGCCTGAACCTGACTCTGAATGGTTCATTGGACTGTTTGTTCTAGTGGTGTAATAACATCTAGGACTCTTAATGGCTATTCCTAAAACACCATCTCCCTCCTTAACATCATTGTGTCCCCAGTGAATGACAGAACACCTCAACAGGGGTCAAATTTAAAATTGGTCCTGAGAAACAAGTGAGTTTATTAAAAAGCACAGAGTACCTACAGGTGGTGGTATTTACAGAGCGTTTGTATTTTCTTCTTTTATTTTCCTTTGTTTTCCAAATTTTGAACATGTCTTACTTCCTTCAAAAAAAGTTATATTTTCATAGGAAAGTAAATTTTACAGTCTATCCCATGCTGAAGTAGACAAGACAACAGATTTCAGTATGAGGTCCAGTTCAGCCAAAATTTAACAAAATAGTTATGGAGGAATTTGGCCAAGGAAAAATTACAATGTAGAGAAAAAACTTATGTCATGAGAACTAGCATTTCCCAAGAAGTAAGGGGGGAGGGAAAAAAAACATATTATTAACAACATCCCTGTTTAGACGCAAGAAAACCTTGACCTCATTCAATGTTAATTTTTTATTTTTTAGAGGCCTCAATGAATGTCCAATTCTGCAAAGATCTCTGTTTGATGGGTGATTAGGAGCGCAGGTTTCCCAGTGTGCTGTTTATGATCTTGGTGAATTTATCACAGTCCTGAGACCAGCAGTGCCCCAGGATATTTCCCACACATTGAGAGCAGGTCCATCTCTAAGTGGGATTTTCTTTAACCAAGTTCATGAAACTGATGTCTAAAAGTCAGAAGGCTATTTTACTAACATGCATGAAGAAACAATGATCTTGGAGACAGGAGTACATGAGTACCTAATTCTACATAACCTGCCCAGATGCCGCCTTTGGAGAGACCTGATCAGGAAGACAATTCATAATCAGAAAATAATCTGAGCAGGATGAAATCAAAACTAAAAGAGTTCAAACTAAAAGGAATTCATTAAAAGGAAGTTTTCCAGCTGCTCTGTAGAACCTCTTTCTGCTGAAGTGGTTAATGTGGGAGATTTCTGTTCTGATCTTCAAGTGTGAAGTGAAACTAGAGCCCACAATCTTATTTTCAAATTCTCAGGAGAAGCCTCCTGTTGGTCCCCAACTACGAACTGCAACTTTAATTTTTCACTCTAATTTGCACTGTGTTTTAATTAACAACCCTGAAACTGCCTTGGAAAGTGATTTCTACCTTTCTCAGCCTGAGCAAAAATTGCCTCACACTATTCAGTGAAGCCAGACAGTTATCTTATTTATGTCCCAATATCTTGACACAGAACACAGTGAAGGAAGCTAGAAAGTAGAGCACAGTCCAATACTGGGATCATTTTCTTGATGTCATCCAGCGAGTCCTGGACATTCTGTAATAATGCAGTACAACTGCGGTCACTCAAGGGAAATTATTGTTTCTGCTCTCTTATGTCCTTCTTGGTGGCTAGAAAAAAATAAACACAAATGTTCTGAGATATATCAACTCAAAAGCACTTGATTTACATTAATAACAGTACCACTTATCCTCTACTAATTTAGAATATATGATTTCAACTTGAGAACTTGAGAATAACTGAGGTTAGTCATAAATGCAAAGAACTGCGTTTAAACTTAAATGTCCTACACTTTGGCATTTGCATACTCCCAGACACAATCCAAATTAGGAAGGTTTTACTACTATTCACACCATAATTACATTGTTACCCAGAATTAAAATGGAAAACACAGGTTTTCAGTAAAATTGTTTTTCATCACAAGAAACTGATAACTAGTAAGAAACTAAATATAATCAGTTAAACATGTCCAATTTAAATGTATTTCACTATATTCTTGTTACTGTATATGATACACAAATAGTAACTAGAACTTATAACAACCCAAAAAACAATTTGCTAATCTATTGGGTAAAAGAAATTGCTATAATTTAGAAGCGATTCATGAGAATGAGTTTAAGAGCCTCTGAGCATAGAATCCAGAGATTAAAATTTGAAGCTAAATTCATTTGGATAAAATAAGACAAATTCCAACTGGTAGATTCTGATAATGAAAAAAAGTTGAGGAAATCTTCTCTCTGGTGGTCCTAGATGTCAAGGCAATTTAAGTTTAGTTTTATTGCATGCCATTGCTCAGACTGTGTCTCCTTTCTTTTCTACATGAGATTCAATTTAATTTAAAAACAAAGAAAACATAATTCATCTTGAATCACCCATAACCTGCCCAGCTACTTTATCTTCTTGCACTGTTTACTAAATCCTATTTATTCAAACTGGGAAAGACAGCCAACCATAACTACTCCAATTTATTAACTGACCTTCAAAATCTTGGGCTCAAAAGGAAAACTTTTAGGGGAAACAAAAATCTATACATCTATAAATATTACACAATTTTTAAGAATGGTCATTTATTTTGAGGGCATATTGGCTGAAGCTGAGGCAGAGTGGGCTTTGCTGAATTAAAAAGAATTATGCATTTTATACAGAGTTGACACATCACATAGTTGTACAGACTTTCCTATCCATATGATCGTCACATGGGCCCTGCACAATGATACGGTGAGGTAAGCATGATGGCATCAGGCCTCACTTTGGTACACAGAGGAGGACACTGAGGAGCAGAGAGGGCGGGACCTCGCCCAAGGTCATGCAGGTAGGAAGCACTTGGCAGAGCCAGGACTAGACCTACGTTTTCTAGAAAAGTCATTCTTACAATCTTTATTCTAAAAATGTAGAAGATACCCTACTGGAGTGCAAATAAGTGTGAGGCCATATAACAGAAAAGGAAAAGGAGACAAATTTCTAAATTATCTTCACTCCTTCCTGGGACAGCTACAGCTCATCTAACTGGCTGGCGAGGCCCACTGCTTCCTCTCCTGCTGCACCCTGTTGTGTATACCCTTCTGGGGACACAGCACAATGTACCCAGGTGGAACAGGACTGTCCGTAAGTCAGACTTTTATAAGTAGCCACATATCCCTGCTAGATGCCCCCCAACAAGCAAGCTCTCAAGGCCTATTCAGAAACAGAGAACACAGGGTAATCACATTGTTGAAAATCTAAGATTCCACCACAGTCCTTAAAGATATAGGATTCATATTCCAATGAGATTCTGAACCCTGAGCTGAAGCTCAGCTTTAGACTCCCTGAAGGATTCAATTATCATTCTCCTTTTGCTGATATTCTTGGCAAGAATAAACAGAATACTCTTTATCTTCATCTTACCCACTTTCTTTTTTGAATTTTTGTTTCTCTTTTTTTTAACATAGCATTTGGCCCTGGGAGACACTTCAGTACCAGGTAACACTTGAGTAACAATTCTAGCACCTGAACACAATTCCCTAAACCAAGGAAAGTGATACAATGCCAGGTTCAACAGTGAGTCTATTGTGTCAAAAAGTAACTGACAGTTGGGACATTAGAGTTACTCTTCAGGAGGAAAGAAAAATCAGGCACAACAAACATAAAAGAGAACACTCTCCTAGGAAATGATTTCCCACAAGCTGTATAAACTTTCTTGAGCTGAACAAACAATCTCAGAGACGAACTTGTTTTCATGTTTTGGGGACACATCTAATGACTACCTGTGCTTTTTCCCACTGAAAACCTTGACAATGAGACAAAATATGTTTTTCATCTTTCCCAGCTGTATGTCTTAAAAAGGTATCTCTGGAATCTGAGCCTTTCCTATGTCAATGATTTTGTAAAATTTAATTTAGTTTTTTAAATTATCAGCTCTAACTCTATGTCAAAGCACAAATCCTCAAGTCATTCCCCGAAAATTCCACCTAGAGATGGGCAAAGCTTTTGTTTGTTAAGGATTACTTCACAATACCCTACTCACCAATGTCTCTTAATATTCCACTCCCTCAAAGAGGTGGGATTATCTGCCCTGTATTAAGTTGCAGTGTGACAGTTTCATGGGGTTTCAACATATTTGGAGTTTCTCTGAGAGAATGATCTTGAAATTCAGTCCTAGATAATGAAGCAAAGAGACTGAATACACAGAGGAGAGACAAATGTGATGAAGAGTCCTAGAAGAAGCTTGCATCCAAAGGTCATCGAAACAAAACAGAAGAATATGTCAGTAATCAAGGAAGACCTTGGCCCTAAATCTACATGGATGTGTAACTGGGAAAGGTCCTGCCACTGGGGAGATCCAAGTTTAGGCAGTTAGCTGAAATTTGCTCAGCTTGGCTAAATAATCAGCCTACAAAGATTATTTCCAAATGTCTCACTTCTTCCCACTTTTTTCATATGCCTTTTCCAAAATTTCTGGTCTCTTCTCACACATAAAGTATGTGAGTTGTCTTACTTCAAACTGTAACTTTCATTTGGAACAGGGAGCCACTTGCCCCTTGGAGATAAAATGATGGTTTAATAAAAGCCACAATTAAGAAAGGCAAGACCTTCCACCTGTTTCACACCTTTGCTGCCAGGAGTGAAATGTCATTTGCAGCCTATGTAATGCCTGTATCCTGTATTTCAACTGCCAAAAGAACATGAGGGAAATTTCCACTTTGTTCTCTAGGAAAGGACATTCATTCATTCAATCCAATTCATCTTTGACTAAACTTGAATTCAGCCAAGTGGAATGATTCATCAGAAAACACATGGAAAGTTGATGGCATAGTCAAAAAATCACAGTTCCATTGAATGTTTTCCACAGAAACACACCGCTTCACCATTGATCCCTTTAACTGAAGCAGAAAATGGAATAGAAAAAGTAAAATGTGTTAATGCCTTTTAATACGGTCCTTTCTAGTCTTAACCTGCCCTAGAAGGCACAAAACATGTATGTTCAAAGGCCTTTAAAATAAACTGAAGCTTTGAGACCTTTACAAAATGCACCCCCCCCCCAAAAAAAAAAACAAGCACTAAAATTTACCTGATTTGCTCTTATTTAAAAAGTTTTATTCCATTATTTTTGCCCTTCCTTTTGATCCTAAGTCATCTCTCCAACTCAGGTAAAGATTACAGATATTATGTATTGTCTTACTCTATCAATTCAGACCCTGTCCATATTTCACAGGGAGCCTTATTTAAATACAACAAAATTTAGTACAACAAAATATTTTCATATAGCCTATTAATAAAAAGTACAAGTGTTTTTCTCATTTCTTCTTAGTTATCAAAACATATTTTAAAACTAAACTTTTTTTTTACAGTTGTAGAGAAAAAAAGTGGAATAAATTATTCTTCAGTTTTGATTAGGTCTTTTTTGGGTTGACTAGAGCAGTATTATAATTAATTTCTAAGAACACATTTATAATTATCCATGATACCAATACTGCTTTTGGTCCATATCACAATAGTTCTTTAAAGATTCAGAACATTTGGGTTACAAGAAATCATCCTTTCTGATGTATTTTTACTATACCAGAACATATTAAACAGCAACCTTTAATACTATTCACAGACATGCCTCCAAAGGGGAACATCAAACATTTGGTAGTTTGCAATACAGTAAAGAATGGTGATTTACTCAATTTTAATCAACTCAGTATTAATTTCATGAATTTTCCACCTAAAGGATTATCATAGCTATAACTCTTACCATGAGCAAATTTTGCTTTTGAAAGCTGATAATTAATTCTTACACCTTGGAAGACTGAAAAGCCTAGACTTTTGAATACATTTACATGGAAATAAACATTCTTTTCTCCTGTTTCTTTGAAATTTCTTTAGAGATTACCTTTCCTCATTCAGTTCAGACTGTGTCAAACATTCATTAATACAGTTTCCTTTTCTCTATATTCTCAAAGGTTTGGGATTTAGAGAAATCTCAAGTGTGCAAACGTCTAGGAACTAAGGGCAAGCCAACCAATGTTCACTGAACTAATTCCTTTAAATCTTGAGAATGGTTTGAATATACTGTTAGGCTAAGTGAATATAGGCATCTACTTCCTAATCATGTACAGTTCCACCCTCCTTATTTCTATATATGCAGCATTTTTCAGAAATCAAAAAGATTTAATAAGGGAGCTTAAATATAACAGATTATATTTTGACATGCATATGGTGTCTGGTGGACAATGTTATAATATCAATGATGTCATAAACTATTCCAATTAAATATTCCCAGCAATTGTTCTCTTCATTCCTTCTTTCTTTCTTCTTTCTTTTAAATTGCCTTCCTTCTTCTTTCAGTGTCATTTATTTTTCAATCTTTGGACCATTTATTTTCCCATTAAAGTGAAACTCAAAGAATGGCTTTCATTACATCTCAGAGAAGTGAAGTGTTAGTCAATTGGCAACAACATATAGGTTCCTTCACTGGAGAATGGAGAGAGCCATCTCGGTTTCCCACCTTCAAGACAAATTCTTCACAATGGACAAGTAATTTGAAAGTCATTTTGTTGAAAGAGGAAGCCAAGGCTGAACTGGCAGCATGATCCAAGTCATCATGCACTGAGATGTGAGCAAGCAGAGCTCTAGAAGCTTAAGGAAA